CCGCGCTCCACCACGGGCCCCTTCCCCCCCCCTCCACCACGGGCCCCTTCCCCCCCCCCCGCTCCAGCACGGGCCCCTTCCCCCCCCCCGCTCCACCACGGGCCCCTTCCCCCCCCCCCGCTCCAGCACGGGCCCCTTCCCCCCCCCCGCTCCACCACGGGCCCCTTCCCCCCCCCCGCGCTCCACCACGGGCCCCTTCCCCCCCCCCGCTCCACCACGGGCCCCTTCCCCCCCCGCGCTCCACCACGGGCCCCTTCCCCCCCCCCGCTCCACCACGGGCCCCTTCCCCCCCGCGCTCCACCACGGGCCCCTTCCCCCCCCCGCTCCACCACGGCCCCTTCCCCCCCTCCACCACGGGCCCCTTCCCCCCCCCCCGCTCCACCACGGGCCCCTTCCCCCCCCCCCGCTCCACCACGGGCCCCTTCCCCCCCCCTCCACCACGGGCCCCTTCCCCCCCGTCCACCACGGGCCCCTTCCCCCCCCCCCCCCGCTCCACCACGGGCCCCTTCCCCCCCCCCGCTCCACCACGGGCCCCTTCCCCCCCGTCCACCACGGGCCCCTTCCCCCCCCCCGCTCCACCACGGGCCCCTTCCCCCCCCCCCGCTCCACCACGGGCCCCTTCCCCCCCCCGCGCTCCACCACGGGCCCCTTCCCCCCCCCCCGCTCCACCACGGGCCCCTTCCCCCCCCTCCACCACGGGCCCCTTCCCCCCCCCCGCTCCACCACGGGCCCCTTTCCCCCCCCCGCTCCACCACGGGCCCCTTCCCCCCCCCCGCTCCACCACGGGCCCCTTCCCCCCCCCCCGCTCCACCACGGGCCCCTTCCCCCCCCTCCACCACGGGCCCCTTCCCCCCCCCCCCGCTCCACCACGGGCCCCTTCCCCCCCCCCCCGCTCCACCACGGGCCCCTTCCCCCCCCCCCCGCGCTCCACCACGGGCCCCTTCCCCCCCCCGCTCCACCACGGGCCCCTTCCCCCCCCCCCCCGCGCTCCACCACGGGCCCCTTCCCCCCCGCTCCACCACGGGCCCCTTCCCCCCCCCGCTCCACCACGGGCCCCTTCCCCCCCCCCGCTCCACCACGGGCCCCTTCCCCCCCCCCGCGCTCCACCACGGGCCCCTTCCCCCCCCCCCCCGCTCCACCACGGGCCCCTTCCCCCCCCCCGCTCCACCACGGGCCCCTTCCCCCCCCGCTCCACCACGGGCCCCTTCCCCCCCCCCCCCGCGCTCCACCACGGGCCCCTTCCCCCCCCCCGCTCCACCACGGGCCCCTTCCCCCCCCCCGCTCCACCACGGGCCCCTTCCCCCCCCGTCCACCACGGGCCCCTTCACCCCCCGTCCACCACGGGCCCCTTCCTCCCCCCCCCCCGCTCCACCACGGGCCCCTTCCCACCCCCCCGCTCCACCACGGGCCCCTTCCCCCCCCCCCCCGCTCCACCACGGGCCCCTTCCCCCCCCCCCGCTCCACCACGGGCCCCTTCCCCCCCCGTCCACCACGGCCCCTTCCCCCCCCGTCCACCACGGGCCCCTTCCCCCCCCCCCCCGCTCCACCACGGGCCCCTTCCCCCCCCCCGCTCCACCACGGGCCCCTTCCCCCCCCCGCTCCACCACGGACCCCTTCCCCCCCCCCGCTCCACCACGGGCCCCTTCCCCCCCCCCCCCGCTCCACCACGGGCCCCTTCCCCCCCCCCGCTCCACCACGGGCCCCTTCCCCCCCCGTCCACCACGGGCCCCTTCCCCCCCCGTCCACCACGGGCCCCTTCCCCCCCCCCCCCGCTCCACCACGGGCCCCTTCCCACCCCCCGCGCTCCACCACGGGCCCCTTCCCCCCCCCGCGCTCCACCACGGGCCCCTTCCCCCCCCCCCCGCTCCACCACGGGCCCCTTCCCCCCCCCCGCTCCACCACGGGCCCCTTCCCCCCCCCCCGCTCACCACGGGCCCCTTCCCCCCCCCCCCGCTCCACCACGGGCCCCTTCCCCCCCCCGCGCTCCACCACGGGCCCCTTCCCCCCCCCCCGCTCCACCACGGGCCCCTTCCCCCCCCCCGCTCCACCACGGGCCCCTTCCCCCCCCGCGCTCCACCACGGGCCCCTTCCCCCCCCCCCGCTCCACCACGGGCCCCTTCCCCCCCCCCCGCTCCACCACGGGCCCCTTCCCCCCCCCCCGCGCTCCACCACGGGCCCCTTCCCCCCCCCGCTCCACCACGGGCCCCTTCCCCCCCCCCGCGCTCCACCACGGGCCCCTTCCCCCCCCCGCTCCACCACGGGCCCCTTCCCCCCCCGCTCCACCACGCCCCTTCCCCCCCCTCCACCACGGGCCCCTTCCCCCCCCCCGCTCCACCACGGGCCCCTTCCCCCCCCCCCCCCGCGCTCCACCACGGGCCCCTTCCCCCCCCCCCCCCGCGCTCCACCACGGGCCCCTTCCCGCCCCGGTCTTTGCATTTTAAAGCTCACTGGTCCCTGAGAGAGCACGGCTGAGGTGGAGGACCAGAGGTGGGGCAGCTGAAGTGGAGGAGGAGCTGAGGTGGAGGAGCTGAGGTGGAGGAGGAGCTGAGGTGGAGGAGCTGAGGTGGAGGAGGAGCTGAGGTGGAGGAGCAGCTGAGGTGGAGGAGCAGCTGAGGTGGAGGAGCAGCTGAGGTGGAGGAGCAGCTGAGGTGGAGGAGCAGCTGAGGTGGAGGAGGAGCTGAGGTGGAGGTGCAGCTGAGGTGGAGGAGCAGCTGAGGTGGAGGAGCAGCTGAGGTGGAGGAGCGGCTCCAGCAGGAGCAGCTGAGGTGGAGGAGCAGCTGAGGTGGAGGAGCAGCTGAGGTGGAGGAGCAGCTGAGGTGGAGGAGCGGCTCCAGCAGAGCAGCTGAGGTGGAGGAGGAGCTGAGGTGGAGCAGCTGAGGTGGAGGAGCAGCTGAGGTGGAGGAGGAGCTGAGGTGGAGGAGGAGCTGAGGTGGAGGAGCAGCTGAGTTGGAGGAGCAGCTGAGGTGGAGGAGCAGCTGAGGTGGAGGAGCAGCTGAGGTGGAGGAGCAGCTGAGGTGGAGGAGGAGCTGAGGTGGAGGAGGAGCTGAGGTGGAGGAGCAGCTGAGGTGGAGGAGCAGCTGAGTTGGAGCAGCTGAGGTGGAGGAGCAGCTGAGTTGGAGGAGCAGCTGAGGTGGAGCAGCTGAGGTGGAGGAGCAGCTGAGTTGGAGGAGCAGCTGAGGTGGAGCAGCTGAGGTGGAGGAGCAGCTGAGGTGGAGGAGCAGCTGAGGTGGAGGAGCAGCTGAGGTGGAGGAGGAGCTGAGGTGGAGGAGCAGCTGAGGTGGAGGAGCAGCTGAGGTGGAGCAGCTGAGGTGGAGGAGCAGCTGAGGTGGAGGAGCAGCTGAGGTGGAGGAGCAGCTGAGGTGGAGCAGCTGAGGTGGAGGAGCAGCTGAGGTGGAGGAGCAGCTGAGGTGGAGGAGCAGCTGAGGTGGAGGAGGAGCTGAGGTGGAGCAGCTGAGGTGGAGGAGCAGCTGAGGTGGAGGAGGAGCTGAGGTGGAGGAGGAGCTGAGGTGGAGGAGCAGCTGAGTTGGAGGAGCAGCTGAGGTGGAGGAGCAGCTGAGGTGGAGGAGCAGCTGAGGTGGAGGAGCAGCTGAGGTGGAGGAGGAGCTGAGGTGGAGGAGGAGCTGAGGTGGAGGAGCAGCTGAGGTGGAGGAGCAGCTGAGGTGGAGGAGGAGCTGAGGTGGAGGAGCAGCTGAGGTGGAGGAGCAGCTGAGGTGGAGCAGCTGAGGTGGAGGAGCAGCTGAGGTGGAGGAGCAGCTGAGGTGGAGGAGCAGCTGAGGTGGAGCAGCTGAGGTGGAGGAGCAGCTGACGTGGAGCAGCTGACGTGGAGGAGCAGCTGAGGTGGGGGAGCAGCTGAGGTGGAGGAGCAGCTGAGGTGGAGCAGCTGAGGTGGAGGAGCGGCTCCAGCAGGAGGGCTGTGGACAGCGCCACACAAACAACCGCCCACCCAGGACGGAGATCTGACCGTCCTCCCCAGGAGGGGCCTAGCGAAGGGGGTGCGCACCGGGGGACTGGGCGGCGCTGCGGGACGGCGCTGGGGCCCTCCGGCACGCAGTCCGGGCTGCGAGCCCCGTGCTCCCCGCGCAGGTCCAGGGCGGCGTGTGGCTGCTCAGTCCACGCCTCTGCGACGCACTCATGGCCATGGACGTCCTGCTGTGCACCGCCTCCATCTTCAACCTGTGCGCCATCAGCGTGGACAGGTGGCCGCCTGCGGGGACAGGGAGGGGAGCGCGGGGAGGGGAGGGGAGCGCGGGGAGGGGAGGCGCGGGGAGGGGAGGGGAGCGCGGGGAGGGGGGGGAGCGCGGGGACAGGGAGGGGAGCGCGGGGAGGGGAGCGCGGGGAGGGGAGAGGAGCGCGGGGAGGGGAGCGCGGGGAGGGGAGAGGAGCGCGGGGGAGGGGAGGGGAGCGCGGGGACAGGGAGGGGAGCGCGGGGAGGGGGAGGGGAGCGCGGGGAGGGGAGGGGAGCGCGGGGAGGGGGGGGGAGCGCGGGGAGGGGGGGAGCGCGGGGACGGGGAGCGCGGGGAAGGGGGGGAGCGCGGGGAGGGGGGGAGCGCGGGGACGGGAGGGGTGCGCGGGGAAGGTGGGGAGGCGGCGGGGACGGGGAGGGGTGCGCGGGGACAGGGGGGGGAGCGCGGGGAGGGGAGGGGAGCGCGGGGAAGGGGGGGAGCGCGGGGACCCAGCGCGGGGAGGGGGGGAGCGCGGGGACGGGGAGGGGTGCGCGGGGAGGGGGGGAGCGCGGGGAGGGGGGGAGCGCGGGGAGGGGAGGGAGCGCGGGGAGGGGAGGGGAGCGCGGGGAGGGGGGGGAGCGCGGGGAGGGGGGGGAGCGCGGGGACAGGGAGGGGAGGGGGGGAGCGCGGGGACAGGAGGGGAGCGCGGGGAGGGGAGGGGAGCGCGGGGAGGGGGGGGAGCGCGGGGAAGGGGGGGAGCGCGGGGAGGGGGGAGCGCGGGGACGGGGGGGGGGAGCGCGGGGAGGGGGGGAGCGCGGGGACGGGGAGGGGAGCGCGGGGAGGGGGGGAGCGCGGGGACGGGAGGGGTGCGCGGGGACAGGGAGGGGAGCGCGGGGAGGGGGGGAGCGCGGGGAAGGGGGGGAGCGCGGGGACGGGGAGGGGAGCGCGGGGAGGGGAGCGCGGGGACGGGGAGGGGTGTGCGGGGGAGGGGGGTGAGCGCGGGGAGGGGGGGAGCGCGGGGAGGGGAGCGCGGGGACAGAGAGGGGAGGGCGGGGAGGGGAGAGGAGCGCGGGGAGGGGAGGGGAGCGCGGGGAGGGGAGGGGAGCGCGGGGAGGGGGGAGAGCGCGGGGGAGGGGGGGAGCGCGGGGAGGGGGGGGAGCGCGGGGAGGGGGGGGAGCGCGGGGACAGGGGGGGAGGCGGGGACGGGGATGGGAGCGTGGGGACGGGGAGGGAGCGCGGGGAGGGGGGGGGAGCGCGGGGAGGGGGGGGGAGCGCGGGGACAGGGAGGGGAGCCCGGGGAGGGGAGCGCGGGGAGGGGGGGGAGCGCGGGGAGGGGGGGAGCGCGGGGACAGGGAGGGGAGCGCGGGGGGGGAGCGCGGGGAGGGGGGGGAGCGCGGGGACCGGGAGAGGAGGGAGGGGAGGGGAGCGCGGGGAGGGGAGGGGAGGGGAGCGCGGGGACAGGGAGAGGAGGGAGGGGAGGGGAGCGCGGGGAGGGAGCGCGGGGAGCGCGGGGAGGGGAGCGAGGGGGAGCGCGGGGAGGGGGAGGGGAGCGCGGGGGAGGGGAGCGCGGGGAGGGGAGGGGAGCGCGGGGAGGGGAGCGCGGGGAGGGGAGGGAGCGCGGGGAGGGGAGGGGAGCGCGGGGAGGGGGGAGCGCGGGGAGGGGAGGGGAGCGCGGGGAGGGGGGGGGAGCGCGGGGAGGGGGGAGCGCGGGGAAGGGGAGGGGAGCGCGGGGAGGGGGGGAGCGCGGAGGGAGGGGGAGGCGCGGGGAGGGGGGGGGAGCGCGGTGAGGGGGAGCGCGGGGAGGGGAGCGCGGGGAGGGGAGCGCGGGGAGGGAGGGGAGCGCGGGAGGGGGGAGCGCGGGGAGGGGGGGGAGCGCGGGGAGGGGGAGGGGAGCGCGGGGAGGGGGGGAGCGCGGGAGGGGGAGGCGGGGGGGGGAGCGCGGGGAGGGGGGGAGCGCGGGGAGGGGAGGGAGCGGCGGGGAGGGGAGGGGAGCGCGGGGAGGGGGGAGAGAGCGCGGGGAGGGGAGCGCGGGGACGGGGAGCGCGGGGAGGGGAGGGGGAGCGCGGGGGGGGGGGGAGGCGCGGGGAGGGGGGGGAGCGCGGGGAGGGGAGCGCGGGGAGGGGGGGAGCGCGGGGAGGGGAGGGGAGCGCGGGGGGGGGGAGCGCGGGGAGGGGGGGAGCGCGGGGAGGGGGGGGAGCGCGGGGAGGGGAGCGCGGGGAGGGGAGCGCGGGAGGGGGGGGGAGTGCGGGGAGGGGGGCGGGGAGCGCGGGGAGGGGAGCGCGGGGAGGGGGGGGGAGCGCGGGGAGGGGGGGGAGCGCGGGGAGGGGAGCGCGGGGAGGGGAGCGCGGGGAGGGGAGCGCGGGGAGGGGGGGGAGTGCGGGGAGGGGGGGGAGCGCGGGGAGGGGAGCGCGGGGAGGGGGGGGGAGCGCGGGGAGGGGAGGGGAGCGCGGGGGGGGGGGGAGCGCGGGGAGGGGGGGGGGAGCGCGGGGAGGGAGGGGAGCCCGGGGAGGGGAGCGCGGGACAGGGGAGGCCAGCCGGGAGAGAGTGGGCGCCGCGCCCGCCTTCCGGTCTTCACCGCGCCCGCCGCGCCCCGCCCCGCCGCGCCCCGCCGCGCCCGCCCGCAGGTTCGTGGCCGTGGCCGTGCCGCTGCGCTACCACCGCCTGGGACGGCGCCAGCTGCTGCTCATCGCAGCCACGTGGCTGCTCGCGGCGGCCGTGGCGGCGCCCGTGCTGTGCGGCCTCAACGACGTGCGCGGCCGGGACCCCGCGGTGTGCCGCCTGGAGGACCGCGACTACGTGGTCTACTCGTCCGTGTGCTCCTTCTTCCTGCCCTGCCCGCTCATGCTGCTGCTCTACTGGGCCACCTTCCGAGGCCTGCGCCGCTGGGGCGCCGCCCGGCGCGCCAAGCTGCACGGCCGCGCGCCCCGCCGGCCCAGCGGCCCCGGGCCCCCGCAGGACCCCCGCGCCCCCGACGGCGCGCCCCCGAGCCGGGCCTCCCCGAGAGCCCGTCCCCCGAGCCGGGCCTCCCCGAGAGCCCCTGCTGCCCCGAAGATCCGGCTCCCGACGCCGACCCCGAGGCGGCGCTCCCCCATGAGTCCCGGACGCCTTCCTGGCGGAGGACGCGCCCCAAGATCACGAGCCGAGAGCGCAAGGCCATGAGAGTCCTGCCAGTGGTCGTCGGTGGGTTCCCGCCCTGGGGCGGGGCCGTGGAGGGGAGGAGCCGGGTGACAGGTGCAGAGAGGGGGCGGGTCGTGGAGGGGAGGAGCCGGGTGACAGGTGCAGAGGGTGGGCGGGGCGTGGAGGGGAGGAGCCGGGTGACAGGTGCAGAGGGTGGGCGGGGCCCTGGAGGGGAGGAGCCGGGTGACAGGTGCAGAGTGGGCGGGGCCGTGGAGGGGAGGAGCCGGGTGACAGGTGCAGAGGTGGGGCGGGCCGTGGAGGGGAGGAGCCGGGTGACAGGTGCAGAGGGTGGGCGGGGCCCTGGAGGGGAGGAGCCGGGTGACAGGTGCAGAGTGGGCGGGGCCGTGGAGGGGACGAGCCCGGGTGGGGGCGGGGCCCTGGAGGGGAGGAGCCGGGTGACAGGTGCAGAGGGTGGGCGGGGCCGTGGAGGGGAGGAGCCGGGTGACAGGTGCAGAGTGGGCAGGGCCGTGGAGGGGGAGGAGCCGGGTGACAGGTGCAGAGTGGGCGGGGCCGTGGACGGGAGGAGCCGGGTGACAGGTGCAGAGGGTGGGCGGGGCCGTGGAGGGGAGGAGCCGGGTGACAGGTGCAGAGGGTGGGCGGGGCCCTGGAGGGGAGGAGCCGGGTGACAGGTGCAGAGTGGGCGGGGCCGTGGAGGGGAGGAGCCGGGTGACAGGTGCAGAGTGGGCGGGGCCGTGGAGGGGAGGAGCCGGGTGACAGGTGCAGAGTGGGCGGGGCCGTGGAGGGGAGGAGCCGGGTGACAGGTGCAGAGGGTGGGCGGGGCCGTGGAGGGGAGGAGCCGGGTGACAGGTGCAGAGTGGGGCGTGGCCGTGGAGGGGAGGAGCCGGGTGGCGGGCGGGGCCGTGGAGGGGAGGAGCCCGGGTGGTGGGCGGGGCCGTGGAGGGGAGGAGCCCGGGTGGCGGGCGGGGCCGTGGAGGGGAGGAGCCCGGGTGGTGGCGGGGCGTGGAGGGGAGGAGCCGGGTGACAGGTGCAGAGTGGGCGGGGGCCGTGGAGGGGAGGAGCCGGGTGACAGGTGCAGAGTGGGCGGGGCCGTGGAGGGGAGGAGCCGGGTGACAGGTGCAGAGAGGGCGGGGCCGTGGAGGGGAGGAGCCGGGGTGACAGGTGCAGAGTGGGGCGTGGCCGTGGAGGGGAGGAGCCCGGGTGGCGGGCGGGGCCGTGGAGGGGAGGAGCCCGGTGGTGGGCGGGGCCGTGGAGGGGAGGAGCCCGGGTGGTGGGCGGGGCCCGCGCCGCTCACGGCCTGGTCCCCAGGCGTCTTCCTGGTGTGCTGGACGCCCTTCTTCGTGGTGCACATCACGCGGGCGCTGTGTCCCTCTGCTCCGTGCCTCCGCGGCTGGTCAGCGCAGTCACCTGGCTGGGCTACGTCAACAGCGCCCTCAACCCGTTTGATTTACACCGTCCTTCAACGCCGAGTTCCGCAATGTCTTCCGAAAGGCCCTGCGCCTCTGCTGCTGAGCCGCCGGCGCCCCGGGGTCGAGGCCTCGCCGGCGGCGGATCCCTTCCTTTCTCCCTCCGGGGACGCTGTCCCGCTGGCCCCGAGGGCAGTGCTGGCCCCCCGGCCGGCTCCCGGGCCACCAGCGCCCGCGCGGGCCAGCCCCTTCCCGAAGGCCCAGGCAGAGCGGGCTCGGGCTCCGCCGAGGGCAGTCAGGAGAGGCCAAGCCACGGGGAGGCCCGGGCCTAGGACAGGAGGGAGGCCCGAGGGCCCCGACCCCGCTGCCCCCGGAGCCCTGCTCTGCCCGGGCAGGACGGCTCCCCTGCTCCGAACCCTGAACCCTGGCTGCTGCTCCTGCCCTGCAGGGACAGACAGCGGCCTGCTGGGAGCTTCGCTGTGGAGGTTGCCACAGCCACAGCGGGCACTAGGTGTGTGTGCTCTCAAGGCTGGGAATCCCGGGCTCGGGTTCTGCGGCTGTAGGCAGTCTCAGTACCCAGGACCACCAGGGACGCCGCCCTCCCCACAAGCCTCCGGCTGGTGAGGCTGGCGATGCGCAGCCCCCTCCTCCAGGAAGCCTCCGGAATGCCCCTCAGGGAGCTGACCGGGTCTGGGACGCATGTGTCTTTCCCAGGGTGGATGTGTCCCCGGCCAGCACAGGGGCTGGTGGCGGTGGGAGCTAGGGCTCTCTTGAGCTTTGTCCCTGGGGACCTGAGGGCACCAACGGGGCCCAGCCTTGATGATGCCTGTTGACAAAAATAAAGGCCAAGACTCCTGTGGACGTGAGCGGCTCCTCAGTGCTGACACAGCTCAGGGGACTTTGAAGCCTCACTGGGTGGAGACACCCAACACCCACAAGACCCCCAAGCTTCTCCTTCAAAGACGACGGGAGAGCAATGCCAGGGGCCTGATGTGGCCCCACCACCCACCACCCATGCTGGAGCTCTGGGATGCTCTCACATGCCACCCTGGGGGCAGGGACTCTGCATGCCTTCTGAAGGGGGCCTGAACTCAGGGCCTGGGCGCTGTCCCTCAGCTCTTCAGCTCAAGGCTAGCGCTCTACCACTTGAGCCACAGCGCCACTTCCGGCTTTTTTTCCTTTTATCTTGTATGGTGCTGGGGAATCCAACCCAGGGCCTCAATGCATGCAAGGCAAGCGCTCTACCACTGAGCCACCTTCCCAGCCCCATCTGAAGGCTGCTTTTTGATCAGCAATAACCTGGACGTGTCCAGGTCCAAGGAATGGGGTACAGACTTTGCCGGCCCCCACCCCTTTGTCCCTTCATCTCTGTGGCTCTAAGGCTGTGAACCCTAGCAGACAAACTCAGCTCTACTCAACTGGAGCCCTGGCGGGCTGGACAGGGCCAAGAGGAAAGCCCTTGTTGAACAGTGGCCTTCTGTCTCCAGAGATGGCTTCTGGGAGCAGGGTCAGCATGAAGGCCATGCCAGGGCCACTCTGGCAGAAATTCTCTGTGTGACTATGAGGGACTCACTTGGGGAAACGCCACCGAGGCTCAGAGCCTGCCGGCTTGCTGTGGAGAGCAGGGGGAGCAGGCAGCGAGTCCCGAGAATCCAAGGCTTTTGGGTTCATATGCTCTTCTGACACTGGCTCCCCACTCTGCTGGTTCCTAAAACTGCAGGGCTCTTCCAGCCACAGAAGAACCTTCTGGTAGGCATGTGAGCTAGCTTGGTACAGGAGAAAGGCTGAATTTGTGTGTGTGTGTGTGTGTGAACTTCTGTGGCACGGGATTTGAGCTCAAGGCCTAGCACTACCACTACAGCCATATGCCCAGCCCTTTCGTACTTTCAGGTTATTTCCAGACAGGATCTTATTTCTGGGAGTGGCCTGAGCACAATCCTCCCACCTCAGCTACTTACGTGGCCAGGGTGACAGGAAGACAGTATCACACCCAACTCACTGATTGAAGCCTTGACCCTCCTTCATCTCTATTACACAAATGGCAAGGATTATGAGTCACTGTGTCTGGAAGGCTGAATTTGTTTTAGCACGTCATGGTATGAACCTGGTAAACACATACCTCAGAGACAGTGCTTTAGAGGCTAATGTTGGAATCACTATAGCTTTGTTTTGTTTTTGTGCTGGTTCTGGGGCTTGACCTAAGAGCCTAGACTCAAAGCTGGTGCTCTACCACTTGAACCAAAGCTCCAGTTCCTGCTTTTTAGTGGTTAACTGGAGATCAGAATCTCATAGATTTTTTTCCTTCCTGGATTAACTGTGATCTTCAGATCTTTCTTAGCCTCCTGAATAGGATTCCAGGTGTGAGCCACCAGTGCCTGGCTAGAATCACCATCTTTTAATTTTCTTTTTTTTGGGTGTGTGTGTGGGGGTCCGGTTGTGGGGCCTGAACTCTGGGCCTGGGCGCTGTCCCTCAGCTCTTCAACTCAAGGCAAGTGCTCTAGCACTTAAGCCACAGCGCCACTTCCGGCTTTTTTCTTTTTGCTCATGTGGTGCTGAGGAATCGAACCCAGGGCCTCAGGCATGCAAGGCAAGCGCTCTACCACTGAGCCACCTTCCCAGCCCCTAATTTTATTTTTTAAGATTGGTTGTGGGGCTTGAGCTCTGGGCCTGGGTGCTGTCCTCAGCTCTTCAGTTTAAGGTGAGCATTGTACCTCTTGAGCCACAGCGCCACAGCTGGTTTTCCAGTGGTTAATTGGAGATAAGAGTCTCACTGACTTTTCTGCTCAGTCTGGCTTTGAACTGCGATCCTCACATCTGACTCCTAAGTAGCTAGAATTACAGGTGTGAGGCACCAGGGCCTGCATTAGAATCACCATTTTTTTGTAGGTCGTGGGGCTTGAATTCTGGGCCTAGGTGCTGTCCCTCAGCTCTTCGGCTGAAGGCAAACCCTCTACCTCTTGAGCACAGCACCACTTCTGTTTTTTTTTTCTGGTGGTTTATTGGAGATAAGAGTCTTATGGACTTTCCTGCCTGGGCTGGCTTTACCCGCGATCCTCAGATCTCAACCTCCTGAATAGTAGGATTACAGGCGTGAGCCACTGGTGCCTGGCTTTAGAATCACCATTTTTAAGACATCCAAAACTTACTGGGCAAGGCCAAGCCTCTTCCTCCAGGCCCTCATGGAGCCTGCACCTCCTCTCCACACCCAGAGGAGCCTCTGGATTTGAGGGCAAGGGGATGGGACCGGGTCATAAGACTATTTCCCAAAACATGAAAAAGCCTCTGGAATATCAGCGGCCATCTGGCAGCTCTCCTAGTCAATGGTGGAGGAAGGTATTTTTCCAGGGCTGTTCCAGGTCATATCCGAACATGCGAGGTGAGCCCTGGAAGCCAGCTTGCACGGAGCTGCATCACAGGAAGGAAGCAGACAAAAGACGACCAGGACTTTGCATGCGGAAGCTCAAATCAGCAAGCTGGACATTTCACTGCAGGACCCAGGCTGCTCTGGCACCTTCTGAGAGTCCTCTGCGCACCTCAGGCCAGGGCTGCGGGGAACAAGAGGGGCTGGCTCCATCCTCACAGGACCATTTCTGCTCAAAGACAGATGGTGGGGCGTGTCCTCAGGGTTGCACTGCGCCTGTCCAGTGCTGGCTGAGGAGGTGAAGCTGACACTCCTGTCACTGCAGAGGCCCCTGCCGCACATGAGGGGCCGTGGCGCCGGAGTGGAGCGTGCCGTCTGGGTGATCAGGAGGGCCTTGGAGCACTGTGTGTGTGACTCAGGTCCCAGGGCTGAGTTGACTGACGGGGTGGGGACTTTATTTACAACTCCATCGACAGACACACATGTATGTACACACACTGACACACGAGGGATGAAAGAGCACCGGGCTGGGCGAGGACCCGGGCCACAGGCCACCAACACGCCTCAGGTCTCCATGGTAGTCCAATGCCAAGGGCACAGTGACACGCATATTTCCCGAGTCTCTGGTTGGGAGTTCATGTCCAAGGGCACAGCCACTCGATCTGTTAATTACTTGTCCAGCAAGTTTCTTTGCCTTCCCAGGGCCTTCCCCAGCCTTGGGGAGTCCTGACCTGGGACACGGTGCGGGGAGGACCCGCGTCACACAGTGACCTTCTCAATCACACTCTCCTCCACGTGGACTTCGTCCGCCTGGACAGTGACTGAAGTGGACTGGCCACATATGTGCTGGTGGTCTTTCCAGTCCTGAAAGGAAACAGACCCACGTGACGAGGGGGGCCACGGGGGAACGAGGGGGCCACGGGGGAACGAGGGGGCCACGGGGGAACGAGGGGGCCACGGAGGAGCGAGGGGGGCCACGGAGGAGCGAGGGGGCCACGGGGGAACGAGGGGAGCCACGGGGGAACGAGGGGGCCACGGGGGGAACGAGGGGGGCCACGGAGGAGCAAGGGGGCCACGGGGGAACGAGGGGGCCACGGGGGGAACGAGGGGGGCCACGGAGGAGCGAGGGGCGCCACGGGGGAACGAGGGGGCCACGGAGGAGCAGGGGGGCCACGGAGGAGCAAGGGGGCCACGGAGGAGCGAGGGGGGCCACGGGGGAACGAGGGGGCCACGGGGGAACGAGGGGGCCACGGGGGAGCAAGGGGGCCACGGAGGAGCGAGGGGGGCCACGGGGGGAACGAGGGGGGCCACGGGGGAACGAGGTGGGCCACGGAGGAGGGGGCCACGGAGGAGCAAGGGGGGCCACGGGGGAACGAGGTGGGCCACGGAGGAGGGGGCCACGGAGGAGCGAGGGGGGCCACGGGGGGAACGAGGGGGCCACGGAGGAGCAAGGGGGCCACGGGGGAACGAGGGGGGCCACGGAGGAGCGAGGGGGCCACGGAGGAGCGAGGAGGGCCACGGAAGAGCAAGACACGGCGGGCAGGCCTGAGCAGACCCATGTGACGAGGGGGGCCACGGGGGAACGAGGGGGCCACGGGGGAACGAGGGGGGCCACGGGGGGAACGAGGGGGCCACGGGGGAGCGAGGGGGCCACGGAGGAGCGAGGGGGCCACCGGGGGAACGAGGGGGGCCATGGAGGAGCAAGGGGGGCCACGGGGGAGCGAGGGGGCCACGGGGGAGCGAGGGGGCCACGGGGGAGCGAGGGGGCCACGGAGGAGCGAGGGGGCCACGGAGGAGTGAGGGGGCCACGGAGGAAGGTGCCAGACACGGCGGGCAGGCCTGAGCAGGGCCCCAGCCCTCCCCACGCGGAGTCCTGGACCCAGGATCCAACTTCCCCTCCCAGCAGGTCTCAGTTCAGACGGAGCTTGGGCCCACAGCCTTTGCACGCCACGCAGGCACTTGTCCACTAAGCTGGAGCCCTTATCCTTCAACCAGTTTTTTCTGCTGTTGGGAATTTAAACAAAGAAATTAAGCTGGGTGGATGTGGTGGCACACAGTTGCCCTTCCTGCAACCACAGGAAGCCCAAAGTGGAAGGGCAGAGGTCAGGGACTGGGCTTGGGTAAGAAGAGAGATCATATCTCAAAAGTGACAGATGAGCTCGGCCCCAGCGGCCATGCCTGTAATCCTAGCTACTCAGGAGATCTGAAGACAGATTTGAAGTCAGCCCAGGCAGACAGATTTGTATGAAACACATCTCCAGTTAATAAGCAAAAAGGCAGAACTAAAAGTATTACTCAAATAAAAGTGGAGTGAGAGTGTGAGACCCAGAGTTCAAATCCCAGTACTGGGGGAAAAACAACAACAAAAAACTAGGCAAGCAGATCTGCTCCCTGTAACGATGTGACTGTGTGATCTGCTCCTGTGACGATGTGACTGTGTGATCTGCTCCTGTGACGGTGTGACTGTGTGATCTGCTCCTTGTAACGGTGTGACTGTGTGATCTGCTCCTTGTAACGGTGTGACTGGTGTGATCTGCTCCTTGTAACGGTGTGACTGTGTGATCTGCTCCTTGTAACGGTGTGACTGGTGTGATCTGCTCCTTGTAACGGTGTGACTGGTGTGATCTGCTCCTTGTAATGGTGTGACTGGTGTGATCTGCTCCTGTGATGGTGTGACTGGTGTGATCTGCTCCTTGTAACGGTGTGACTGGTGTGATCTGCTCCTTGTAACGGTGTGACTGGTGTGATCTGCTCCCTGTAACGGTGTGACTGTGTGATCTGCTCCTTGTAACGGTGTGACTGGTGTGATCTGCTCCTTGTAATGGTGTGACTGGTGTGATCTGCTCCTTGTGACGGTGTGACTGGTGTGATCTGCTCCTTGTAACAGTGTGACTGTGTGTGATCTGCTCCTTGTAACAGTGACTGTGTGATCTGCTCCTTGTAACGGTGTGACTGGTGTGATCTGCTCCTTGTAATGGTGTGACTGGTGTGATCTGCTCCTTGTGACGGTGTGACTGGTGTGATCTGCTCCTTGTAACGGAAGGGCAGAAATGGGCACACCAAGGAAAACAGGTCATCTCCTAGAAAGTCACCTTCTACTGACCTCTTTTTCCAAATTTCCTATAATAAACCTTTTTTTTCTTTTTTATTGTGAAAATACTGTATAGAGGGGTGACAATTACAAGAGCAAGGTAAGGTAATGAGCACATTTCTTATCAAACATTGTTGCCTCCTCCTTTTTTCCCCTTCCCATTCCTTCCCATCTTCCCCCCTCCCCAATAAACCTATCATTTCTATTTCCTTGTTTTCTTAAAGAAAAAACAAAAAGAAATAAAAAAAACCTGAAAAGAGACAGAACCCATACAATCTAATTGTGCATGCAGGGCTGGGAAAGTGGCTCAGTGGTACAGTGCTTGCCTGGCATGCATGAAGCCCTGGGTTCAATTCCTCAGTACCACACACACAGAAAAAGCTGGAAGTGGCACTGTGGCTCAAGTGGTAGAGTGCTAGCCTTGAGCAAAAGCAGCTCAGGAACAGTACCCAGGCCCTGAGTTCAAGCTCCAGGACTGACCAAACAAATCAATAAAAATCCCATTAAAAATGAGGCCATAGCTGGACACTGGTAGCTCACACCTGTAATCCTAGCTACTCAGGAAGCTGAGATCTCAGGACTGTGGTTCAAAGACATCCGGGCAACAAAAACTGCGAGACTCTTTTCTCCAATTAACTGGAAATGCAGCTGGGGCTCCACTATAGCCTTGAGGGAGAAGGCGCAGGGACAGTGCCCAGGCCCTGAGTACACACTCCACGATAAACCAAAAATAAATAAAATGCTGGCCCCAAAGGAGGAGGGAATCAAGAGGCCTGATTCAGGAGGGGCAGCCCAGAGGGCTGCACTTCTGTGGAATTTCAAACTGTCCACGGAGAGGGGAAAGAAAGGCTTGGCCCAGGCTGGAGGGAGCACACGGAGGGAGGGGGCTTGGGGCACTCTGGCCACCGCTGTGTCCGCCCAGCTGCTCAAGAACATGAAGGCACTGGCTACAGGCTTCCTGGCCAGTCACTTCAGACACACACAGCAGGTCCTGCAGGGCCTTGTGCTACAGCACTGGCAGTAATTCACAGGCTTTCTCTCCTCTATGCACCAAGCCCAGTATAATGAAACTGTTAACAATTGCATCTTAAAAGATGTTACCTGAGCCGGGCGCCAGTGGCTCACGCCTGTCATCCTAGCTATTCAGGAGGCTGAGATCTGAGGATCATGATTTGAAAAGTCTGCAAGACTCCATCTCTAAGTAACAAGCAAAATGCCAGACTAGAGGTGTGACTTAATTGGTAGATCACTAGCTGTGAGCAAGTAAGCCTAATAAAAGTACAAGATCCAGAGTTCAAGCCCTGATACTGGCATTAAAGAGCAAAATGAAGCCAGATGCTGGTGGCTCATGTCTGTAGTCCCAGCTACTCAGGAGGCTGAGATCTAAGGATTGTGGTTGCAAGTCAGCCTGTGTAGGAAAGTCCATGAGACTCTTATCTCCAATTAACCACCAGAAAACCGGAAGTGGGGCTGTGACTCAAAGTGGTAGAGGGGTATTGAGCAATAAAGCTCAAGGACAGCATCCAGGCCCTGAGTTCAAAACCCATGAACACCACTACCACCACCAACAAAAAACCCAGAAAAAGTAAAATGTTAAGCAGGAGTGGTAACACACACCCAGCACTCCGGAGGTAAAGAACAGAGTCATAGTTAACACCAGCGCAGGACACGGGGAGCGAGTGCGAGAGAGAGGCAGAGTCATAGTTAACACCAGCACAGAACACTTAGTGAGAGCAGCACTCCGGAGGTCAAGGCCAGAGTCATAATTCACACCAGCGTAGGACACGGGGAGAGAGGTCAGGCACAGCCAGGTGGCGCTGCCGCGGGGAGCTGAGGCAATACGCACACTCCAACAATCACGTCCACAGCGCAGCCACAACAGCGCTGTCCAGAACAGCAAGCAGAAAACACCCAGATGTCCACCCAATGACAGATAGACAAGCCCTGTCCATCCACAAAGCAGTGCTATTTGGCTGAGCCCTCCCATTGCCTGGGGGGTGGCTGAGCCCTCCCATTGCCTGGGGGGTGGCTGAGCCCTCCCATTGCCTGGGGGGCTACCACAGTGGTAGCCGAAGCCTGTCCTCCTGTGCCTGTCCTCCTGTGCGGCTGAGGCAGCCAGGCAGCTGCAGAGTGAGACGCTGCCACAAAAACACCCCGTGAAGCCAGTGACCGGTGGCGCACACCTGTACTCTTCGCTACTCAGGAGGCTGAGATCCAAGGACTGCAGTTCAAAGCCAGCCCCAGCAGGAAGGTCCCTGGAACTCTGATCTCCAATTAAAAACAGAAAAAGCCAGAAGTAGAGCTGTGGCTAGAGTGGTAGAGTGCTAGCCTTGAACAAAAGGAATGCAGGACAGTGCCCAGACCCAGAGTTCAAGTCCCAGGACCAGCAACAAAAGGAACAAAGTAATAGGCTGAGGAAGTGGCTCACTAGTGGAGCTCTTGCTCAGCACGGGCAAGGGGAAAGATCTAAACTGAATTGTGATTTGCACAACTCTGTAGGCTTACTAAAACCACTGAATTATACCTTTAAAATGGGTGATCTGGTTTTTTTGGTTGTGGGGTTTGAATTCGGGGCCTGGGCGCTGTCCCTGTGCTCTTCAGCTCAAGGCTAGTGCTCTGCCACCTGAGCCACAGCGCCACTTCTGGCTTTCTGGTGGTTCATTGGAGATAAGAGTCTCACGGACTTTCCTGCCCAGGCTGTCTTTGAAGCATGATCCTCAGATCTCAGCCTCCTGAGTAGCTGGATTACAGGTGTGAGCCATGGGTGCCTGGTTTCTGTTTTGCTGTTGTTGGGGCTTGAACTCAGGGCCTGGGTGCTGTCCCTGAACTTTTTCCACTCAAGGTGAGTGCTCTACCACTTTGAGTCACATTCCCTCTTCTGATTTTCTAGTCGTTTATTGGAGATAAGAGTCTCACAGGCTTTTCTGCCTGGGCTGGCTCTGAACCGCAACCCTCAGATCTCAGCCTCCTGAGTAGCTAGGATTACGGGCATGAGCTACCAGCACCTAGCAAAATATGCAATTCGACTCACACACACACACACACAGTTCAAATGGGGTTTGAAGAAAATAAGCCTGGTGCAAGACAAAATCGAAAATCATGACAGTCCTCTGTCCTGGGAGAAGGCTACCCCTCCCTTTCCAGGTTCCACCCGGTGCAGACTACCCTCAGCATCTACGGCTTACTGCAGCCAATGCCATCGCCTGGAAATGTGGCCTTGTACTCCTGGGACAACTGAGGGGAGACGTAGCTGTGACCTCAGCTGGCCTACAAGCCTTCCTGGAGAAGCTCAGGGACCACTTCTGGCTCTGCTTCCAGAATCTTTTGAGCCTGGAGAGGTGGGGCTGCGGACGAAGGGGGCTCATCCTTGCTCTGCTGGAGAGGAGGACCTGGGACCGAACCCTGGAGCCACAGCTTCTGTGCCGACTGAGGACCCTGGCAGGAAGGCGGTGTCACAGGGGGGTGAGGACCAAGTCCCTCCTGTGAGGCTCCCGAGGTGTGCTGGGCACACATTCACCCTGACCACCCTCCATGCGGTCTTCCCGCCTGTGTACCCGTCGGGACAGAGGAGGGCAGTCCGCAGCCCGCTGCCCGCAGCCCACAGCCCACAGCCCGGCTTAGCTGTGTCCCTATCCCTGGAGCCAGACGGTGTCTTTTCACCAGCTCACCCTGGCCTAAAGCAGAGAACAATGCCCCGTCCCAAGTGACTGCCCGCAGCACCCCATCCACAGCTCTGCTGGGCAGAGCGCAGGCCAGTTCCCCATTCACCTTCCAGGTTACGGAGCCTAGAGCCCCGAGATATCTGCACCTCTGCCCAGGGCCGGGCTAGTGATGGCCAGAGGAGCCGCTGCCAAGCCCGGAGGCCAGCGCCACTGTACCTCCCTCCAGCTCAGGAAGCCATGTTCAAACCGGACGAAAAGGAACATGCCATCTTCAAAGCAGGGCTTTGTTAGGGGAGCATCCAAGAAGAGCAGGGGCGTGCTGTGATCGTGCAGTGAGCAGACAGACAGACTGCAAGCTTCCAGGCTCCAGGAGTGTCCACTTGGCCAGCACTGCCCTCAGCACTGCTAAAATGCAGCACAGCAGGCGGCGACGGCAGGGGGTGCTGTGGGAGGGGCAGAGCAGCCTACGGGCTGAGGCCTGAGGAAGCTGCCCCAGGACACTTCCTAGCAGAGCAGGGCTGGCCTGTCCTATTTGCTAACCTCAATGAGACTGCCACCAGCCCCAAAGCCCTCCGAGGACCGGCGGGGGAGTGCAGGGATGTGACATACCTACCACACCGCTCTTTAGTCTCCTTAAAACCCACAGCCAGATGAGGACAAGTGGCGGCATCCATCACACACGGGCTACAGTGCCCGTCAGGCTCAGAGCGGAGCCGCCAACGCCAGGGTCTCGCCCAGGAGTGACCCTGCACCACAAGGGCACGACTTCTGACCTCGGCAGAGCCAGTGGCAGCCCAAGAGGCTAGGGCCTTCAGCAGAGAGCCGGGCCTTTCCACCCCTCCCTGCGGCCGCAGGCCGGCTCAGAGGCGGCGGCGGGGCTTACCTTGCGCTGGCAGAAGGTGGAGCAGTAGTTGACCTTGTGACACCCCGTGCACTCACTCATGGCTCCCCGGCCACAGTTCACACAGGACTGCTGCAAGGACAGAGAGGCGTCAGTGCCACCGCGAGGCAGCGCGGGCTGGACTCCACCGCGGCCCCCCGCGCCGCTCCCCTGAAGATCAGTCCTTAGCACTCCACACCTCGTGATCACCGGGGGGCCACGGCAGGCACACCTGAGCTAGGTGCGGCAGGACACCCCGAGTTCCCAGCGCCCCCACGGCGCCCCCCACCGCTTCCCTGGGCCTCTTCACACAGCCTGACAGGACAGGGCTCTCTTCAGCAGCATGCGGGGGTTTTCTGTTCATACTACAGCTTGTCCATGACTAACTGTTGCAAAACAACAGACGGTGGCCTTTGACAATGGGAAATGTTAACTAACATTTCCCAATGTGGAGAGAACCACTAGATAAGACCCAGTGCAAGCCAGGGTCACGTGGACTGCAGGAAGGGCCAGTGCCGGTGGGCAGGGGCAGTAGCCTGCTGTGATCGGCACACAGGTAAACCAGATGCCCACTTTCACAACGACAATTAAACCAACTCTATAGCTTTCCTTCATAGTCACAATACACAGCACCTACTTATCAGGTACTGATTTTCACACATGGAAGGGCATCATTCCCAGTGAAGGTCCAATTTGGCTTGAGAGCCAGGCACGGGCGGTTCACGCCTGTGATCCTAGCTACTCAGGAAGCTGAGATCTAAGGATTGTGGTTCAAAGCCAGCCCGGGCAGAAAAGTCCACGTGAGACTTTTATCTCCAATTAACCACTCAATAACCAGCAGTGGCGCTATGGCTCACATGGTAGAATGCTGGCCTTGAGTATAAAGAGGCTCAGGGACAGCACCTAGGCCCCACAACTGACAAAAAAGTGTGAACTTCAGGTAGACACTGGAGGACCCAGCCCAGGTGGGCTCACATGCCAGGGCAGGGTCCAGCCCAGGGCTGAAGGCCATGGCTGGCCTTGGAATGAGGCCACACTTTATGTGGAGGTCAGGCTGGGGGGGGGGGGGGGGAGAGATGGGGGAAGAGGGGGGCGGGCTTTGGGGGCGGGCCCTGGCTTTGGGGCGGGGCAGGAAACACGTGTGGATGGGAGACTCAGAGGGGCTCAGGAACAGGACACCAGCTCACAACCCACGGTCTCAGCTTGGTAAACTATCTGCTAGAAACGAGTGACAGCTGTAATGGGGGGGGTGCTGGGGAGGAACTGCTTATCAGAACCCTAAGTCACTGCTAGCTCCCTGTCTGGGAGGGCCCCTCAGAAAGTAGGCCCACAGAGCAAGAGCTGCCTGTTCCAGAGCAGACGCTGGCTGACATCACACCCTGACCCAGCGGAGGCGGTCCCAGGCCGCCCGCGATGCTGCAGTGAGACGGAGCGGCCTCCTGGCCTCCACGCGCAAGCCCTGCGTCCACACACACTGGCACACCAGCAATACCTGGGCCTTGAGGATCGGGCAGATGGAGCATGCCGGCTCCCTGTGCATGCTGGGGAGATGCCGGTGTCACCGCACACCGGGCTGTGCAGGCGCCTGCGACCTCTGCCACTTGCGTGGGACCCTGAAGCCCTAAGGAAAGACTTTGAAGCAAACTTTCGCTATCACAACGCAGGTGCGCATCCCGGATCCGTGCCATGTTCCCGGGTGACCCGCACCCTGCAGGCCCCGTCTGAACTTTCTAGAAGCCTACAGAATCTCACGGGCCAGTCAGTGGCTGTCAGTCAGAACAACCCTCGGAGGCCAGGCAGCCCGAGCGCGGAGCAGTTCAGAAGCGGCCTGTAGTCCTGGGAAGCAGCCAGCTGCACAGGGGAGCGGCCAGACGCCACTGCCCGCGACAAGACAGGCCACTGTCCACCTGCACAGCACCTGTGGCGACTCCAACGCCAATCCAGCGCGGCAGGAGCACGGAGCATACGTGCATGCGTGCGTGTGCATGGCCGGGCTCCACATCCCCCTCTGGGCACTGCTGGTTTGGAAACCAGACAAATTTGACATTATGGGCAATGGAGCAAACTTCCCAAAAGGAGCCAACCAAGAACGGAATGAAGAACTGCAGACGCCTAGTGGCCTGAGCTGCCACACAGGGGCTCAGGGCCTTGGCTCTGGCAACCAGCTATGGCTCCACCGTTGCTCTTGGCCCCTGGACGTCGACTTTACGTCGCTTGATCAAGGGGCTCGGAGGAGCAGTCTGCCCGGGGAGTGCGCTCCCCCCCAGCACCTTCTTCCAGAGCAGCCACACGATAACCTATATCTGCTTCTGGCCCAGTTCCTGTTCACAACCGCTCAGGTGCCTGTACTCATGCAACTCGGTGTCCAGGCGTCCACACTCCGGGCCTTGCCTCTCCCTGAGTGACGCGCCAGGAATAAGGGGTGGAGACCTTCAGGAGGCAAGCAACCCCAGCCGCCACAGACAGCACCCCTTACCAAATCCACCTTGAGCATGTGGAGGGCTCAGCTTCTGTCTGCACAGCCTTGCTGGGAGCAGCTGAAGGCCAAGCCGGGAGGTGCCAGCCACGGCCGCAGCCGGGGCTTAGCCTAGACCAGCTTCTGCACCTCTCTAGCTGCGAAGCGGAGGTCTTAAACCCAAGTTCCAGTCTCCTGGTCTCTCAGAAGTACATAGGGGCCAGATGTGGTAGCAATTGCCTGTAAACCTAGCTACTTAGGAGACAGAGATCGGGAGGATCGTGGTAAACCTAGCTACTTAGGAGACAGAGATCGGGAGGATCGTGGTTTGAGGCTAGCCAAGGCATAATCAGTTACAGTGGCACATGCCTGTCCTCCCATGTGTGGTAGTAACAGGACTGAAGTCCAGACCAGCCTAGGCAAGAACACTAGACCCTATTAAAAAAATAAAGCAAAAAACCCAACCCCACAACTGGAGGCATGGCTTACGCAGCAGCACCTGCCTGGCGGGCATGAGGCCTTGAATTTAAACTCAGTACTGTCTTCCCCTGTCTCCCCTACACACCCCAAAAAACACGCATGGTGGCCACACCTGTGACTCCAGCACTCAGGAGGCTGAGGTATGAGGCCACTCTGGGCTACATAAGACTAAGAAATCCCAGGGGGCTGGGAAGGTGGCTCAGTGGTAGAGCGCTTGCCTCGCATGCATGAGGCCCTGGGTTCGATTCCTCAGCACCACATAAGCAAAAAAAAAAAAAGCCGGAAGTGGCGCTGTGGCTCAAGTGGTAGAGCGCTAGCCTTGAGCTGAAGAGCTGAGGGACAGCACCCAGGTCCAGAGTTCAGGCCCCACGACCAACAACAACAACCAAAAAAAAAAGAAAGAAAGAAAGAAAAGAAATAAAGAAAAAGGAAAAGAAAACCAAGGGAGTAGGAATGTGGCTCAAGTTGTGAGCAAAAGCAGCTCAGGGACAGCGCCCAGGCCCTGAGTTCAAACCCCAGGACTGGGGGAAAAAAAAAAAAAGCGAAAAGAAAACCCAACATGCCAGGTATGTGTGCACATCTGGGCACACCTGTGTGCATGTGTGCGCTAAGCCCTCTTCACCGAGAGGAAGGGGATGTGAAGTGGACCGAGAACGCATGCAGTGCCAGAGGGACGCAGCCCCATGGTGGCCTTGGAGCCCAGCCAGAGCCCAGCTGCGCCCCCTGGGCACTGACCACGCACCCGGGGCCTCGCCAGGCTGTCTGCCGAGCAACCTCCCGTGTTGCACAGACGGGGCACGGGGAAGGCCAGCTTTCAAGGTCGCGGTCCCTGGACCCCAGGAGGTCGCGGTCCCCTGACCCCCAGGAGGTCGCGGTCCCGACCCCCAGGAGGTCGCGGTCCCCTGACCCCAGGAGGCCGCGGTCCCCTGACCCCCAGGAGGTCACGGTCCCCTGACCCCCAGGAGGTCACGGTCCCCTGGCCCCCAGGAGGTTGCAGTCCCCTGACCCCCAGGAGGTCGCGGTCCCCTGACCCCCAGGAGGTCACGGTCCCCTGACCCCCAGGAGGTCACGGTCCCCTGGCCCCCAGGAGGTTGCAGTCCCCTGACCCCCAGGAGGTCGCGGTCCCCTGACCCCCCAGGAGGTCGCAGTCCCCTGACCCCCAGGTCGCAGTCCCCTGACCCCCAGGAGGTCGCGGTCCCCTGACCCCCCAGGAGGTCGCGGTCCCCTGACCCCCCAGGAGGTCGTGGTCCCCTGACCCCAGGAGGTCGCTGTCCCTTTGTCCCCCCAGGAGGTCGCGGTCCCCTGACCCCCAGGTCTGTGCTGCCAGTGACCCTCACCATCCACATCTGTTTGCTGGGGGAAGCAGCGCAGGAGGCCGGCTGCCCACAGCAGCACACATGCTGCAGGAGGCAGCATTCCCGGGGAACACGCAGGGGCTCCCCATCTTTACCAGCCTTGCATCCTGGCCCTGCTCTGGAATCCCACAGGCCTGGAGCACCAGCCTCAACGTCTGCCAAGAACACGCGTACGCGTGCGCTCCGTGAGGGCAGGGGCTCAAACACGGCCCAAGCTCCTGAAGGGGAAACCCCATGCCCACACCACTTCCCTGAAGGCAGGACAGCCCGGAGGCTGAAGCCACAGGAGAGATCTCCCGGCTAGTATTACTTGGCTCCGGCCTGTGTAGAACTTCCTTGTTCCTGGCTCAATGCCTACCTGACCTGTCCTTCATCCCTCCACACAGCTGATATGGACAGCTCCCTTGCAGCCTCAGGGTCCTCTGTGTTGCTGTACTTCGGGCCTGGGTCCCAAGGACGGTTCCCGAGCACAGGCTCTGGCTCCTGTGCTCTGGGAGAGGCTTCTTCAGGGAAGGGCAGTCAACCAAGCCCCTGCGGCCACGCCGCTGGCTTTCTGCTGGACACTGCACCCTGACATCCAAACACATCTGCCGTTCTGCCCTGCTTATCTCTGCAGAACTAATTATGCACAACGCAAAATTTCCATGATTAAAGTCAGTAAAAATCCCCCTGGTAAGCTTCACTTGAGCTCAATACAGTGCTTTAAAAAAAGATGTATTCTATGGCATTTATTATTTAATATATGCCAATAGGGAGAGCAGTAGGGGCCAGAGGGCAGAGGGGTTGGCAAATATGCCACTCAA